AATGGAAATGTCCATAAAAACTTAGAGAAATCATCCAAAATAAGCATATAATAACGATGACCCATAGAACTCAAAACAGGAGATGTCCAAAGATCACCATGAACAATATCAAAAGGCATAGTAGTATTAGAAATTGAAGAAATAAACGGCAACTTAACATGTTTTCCAAGTACACATGAATAGCAAACACTAGAACTAGAGGAGTGAGTGAATTTAATGTTCTTATTATTACTAAGAGTCCTTAAAATAGAGGCACCCGAGGCGTGGTATATGAGGTTTGCAGATTTTTTTGCTTCTATTGGTTTCACTAATAGTAAGAGTGACAATTCCCTTTTTATTTATCGCCAAGGGAAAAATGTGGCTTATTTGCTTTTATATGTTGATGACATTATTCTTACTGCTTCTTTTGATAAACTGCGACATTCTATTATGTCCCTTCTTAGCTCGGAATTTGCTATGAAGGACTTGGGTCATCTTAATTATTTTCTTGGCATAGCATTGACAAGACATAAGGGTGGATTATTTTTGTCACAACGTAAATATGCAGAGGATATTCTATCATGATTTTCTTAGGAAAAACAATTTGATCAGTTGTAAACTTGTAATAAGAGAGATAAATCTTATTTCTGCTACTCATGTCCTTTAGGAAAACATGTACGATTTCCTTTTAAGTCTTCTAATACTGTATCTTTTTCTCCTTTTCACATTATTCATGCGGATTTATGGATATCTCCTATTCGTGGCAAATTAGGTCACAAATATTATTTGGTTTTACTTGATGATTTCTCTCATCATTTGTGGGTGTTTCCTCTAAAATACAAATCCCAAGTTTATGACATTTTCCTCAATTTTTGGACCTTTTTAAAACTCAATTTGAAAAAAATATTAAAACTTTTCAAAATGATAATGGACGTGAGTTTAACAACTCTCCATTTCGCAAGTTTTGTACGGATAATGGCATGGTATTTCGTCTTTCTTGTCCCCATGCCTCTTCTTAAAATGGGAAAGCCGAGAGAATTATACGCACCATAAACAATATGTCCGACACTATTCTCTTTCATGCCTCTCTTTCTCCTTGTTTTTGAGTTTATAGCATACACATGGTAGCCTATGTCCTCAACATCCTACCATCCAAAGCCATACACAACAAAACGCCAACTGAGATACTTTATCGTAGAGTTTCCACATATGATCATCTTCGCGTCTTTAGTTGTCTATGCTATCCCAATCTTAGTGCCACTACTCCTCATAAGCTTGCACCTCGCTCCAAACCTTGTGTTTTTTTGGGTTTTCCAAACAACCATCATGGGTACTTATGTTATGATATTTCCTCTAATAAAATCACTATCTCTAATCATGTTACTTTTGTTGAAGACATTTTCCCATTCTCCAATCTCCCATAATTCAAACTAGAGGATTAAGATTTTATGGACTATGAATCTTCTAACTCACTTAACCCTCTTCTTGTGCAAGCCCAAGTACCTGCTAGCCCATCACCCTTGGTCATTCCCACGGCAGGCCCCAGCCCACAACACTCTCCTTCCAACTCCCCTCTCCACAATCCTTCCCATGCTTCTCCACAACACACACCACGGCTGGCCGTGGCTCCCAACTTTCTACCACGAGCCACCCGCGGCCTCTCCTGCCACCCAGCTCCAGCAGCTCTGTGTCTCCCTTGATCCAATTTGGATCACTTCCCCACCCCACCCCGATTACTCCTCATTCTCGGCCTACTCCACCAACCTCTCATGCCATGACCACTTGTGCAAAAAATGGGATATTTAAATCGAATCCAAAGTTTGATGATTACATTCTCTTGGTTCAATCTATCTCCTCCTTACCTAAAATTCCCAAACTTTCCATGCTTAACCCGAATTGGAATGCCGCCATGAATGAGGAATTTTGGACTCTTACTAAACAACATACTTGGGATCTTGTCCTAAGACCGGATGGTGTGAATATTATTCGTTGTTTGTGGTTATATAAGCACAAATACAGGGATAATAGTGACTTGGAGAGACACAATGCAAGACTTGTTGTGAATGGAAAGTCTCAGCAGGTTGGAGTGGATTGTGATGAAACATTTAGTCCCATGGTTAAACCGACGACTATTCGTACTATTTTGAGCATTGCTACGGGGAGAGATTGGCCCATCCATTAGCTTGATGTCAAGAATGATTTTGTTTCATGGTGATCTTTAGGAAACCGTTTTTATGCACCAACCCCCGGGTTTTGTAAATCCATGTGTTCCTTCTTATGTGTGCAAGCTCCGAAAATCTTTGTATGGTTTGAAATAGGCTCCTAAGGCTTAATATCAACGCTTTGCAACTTACCTTCTACAGATTGGTTTTGTGTGCAGTAAAAGTGATAATTCCATGTACATCTTCCGACATGGTTCGAATGTTGCTTACCTCTTATTATATGTGGATGACATTGTGCTCACTACCTCATTTGGTAAACTCAAGTCTGACATCATTTCTCTTCTTCAGTCCGAATTTGCCATGACAGATTTAGGTCGATTGAGCTTCTTCTTGGGTATCTCTGTGACACGTATGAGCAACACTATGCTCTTGAGTCAGAGTAAGTATGCTTGGGAAATTATCCGCAGAGCTCAGATGGACAATTGCAAACCCATTCTCACTCCAGTCGATACTAAGTCTAAACTCAGTGCACTTGATGGTCCCCTAGTCAGTGACCCGTCACTTTACAAGAGCCTTGCGGGTGCTTTATAGTACCTCACTTTCACCAGACCTGATATATCATATGTTGTTCAACAAATTTGTTTGTTCATGCATGATTTGCAAGAGCCACATTTCAATGCTCTTAAGCGTATCATACGGTATCTGAAAGGCACTCAGGACCTTGGTCTTTACTTGTATTATTATGCACCCACGCGCCTTCTATCCTACTTCGAAGCCGACTGGGGCGGCTGCCCCGACACTCGGCGTTCTACATCCGGATATTGTGTTTATTTGGGTGATAATCTGGTCTCTTGGTCTGCGAAAGTCAAGCTACATTGTCCCATTTCAGTGCCGAGGCAAAATATCAAGGTGTTGCTAACGTTGTTTCTGAAATATGTTGGCTCCAGAACCTTCTTCTCGAGTTGTATTGCCCTCTCCGGAAGGCATCCTTGGTTTATTGTGATAATGTCTCTGTTGTTTACTTGTTTAGCAATCTAGTGAATCATCAACGTACCAAGCACATAGAGATGGACATTCACTTTGTTCGTAACAAGGTAGCTCTCGGCCATGTTAAAGGGCTTCATGTTCCTTCGTCGTTTCAGTATGCCGACATTTTCATCAAAGGTCTTCCTCGCCAACAGTCTCAACGTACGCCCTCCTCCCACTTTGACTGTGGGGGTGTGATAGAATATGAAACAATGCCGTTTCATATTTTGTAATTATGTTTGTATAATTATGTAGAGTAACTCTCAAACCTTTAGGATTATACATTCCTATATATATTCAAATAATGAGAATGACTCCTCTAAGGAGAATTTCACAATCTCACACTATTATTAGGAGGAGGGAGGAAACTAGCTTGTACATATGTGAATGCTCAGGAAAGGGCGAGAGGATGATAAGAACGTTGTCATGGATATATTGTTTGGTGCAAGTGATGTTCATGAAAGTTTTCGTTTCGTGACTATTGTAGGAGGGGGGCTGCCTAGTTAATCTTCATGATTGCTATACTATGTCAATCTTTGATGCCATGTCAAAAAATTGAGTAAAAGCAAATCCAAGTTAGGAGGAGAAATTATTACTGGTAAAAATCTGAAAAATTATCCTTAATTATTTCTGATTAAAATTGGAAAAATTAGAAATAATAATCTCAACTTTCATTATTCTTAAACTATCAATATCATAATATAGTTCTTGCTAATGGGGTGTTGTGATTATTAATAAACTATCAATATCATAATAATCCCAACTTAATGCCCAATTAATGGAGTGTTTAGTATTACATCTGCTTACCATCATTTAATTAAAGATAATTGCATCTCTTCTTCATTCTATAGTTCGTGGAAAAGTGTTTGCAAAATTCAAGCTCCTGCAAAATACAAGATGTTGTTGTGGAATTGTTTGCGTACTATTCTCCCTGTGGCTCAAAACCCATGCTCAAAACCCATAAAAAATGGGTTCTTTTGTTATAACCTTTAAAACCCATATTTAATAAAATATTTCTTTCCATTTTGGCAATTGTGTTTAATCCATATACAATCAAGGAGAAATTGTCAAAAATAATACAAATTTTGAGCAATCTGCCAAAACCAAGTCAAACTTTTAATTATTTTTGAATAATACTAATTTTGAGGGTTATTCATTTAAACAAGTTAAAACCGATTAGTTACCTCATGAATAGGTTATATAGAACATGTGACATTGTATTATTTTTTAAAAAACTATTAAACAACTTTATAAGATAAATAAAAAAAAATCTGGCTAAATAAATTATAGGTAAAATAACTTGTTTAAAGCGGATATCACTCAAATTTGTATTATTTAGAAATAATTAAAAGTTTGACTTGTTTTTAGCAGACCGCTTAAAGTTTGTATTATTTTTGGCAATTTTTCCTACAATCAAATACAATATATATATTTTTTGTACATATATTTAATAATACTTGTACTAACATATACGAGTACTACTTATGACTTTCTTATGAGGTACGACTGACTTCATTTTTTTTTCATTAATTTGTGGAAAATTTGTCTGAAAGAGACTATGTTCGCTATTTTGTCTAGAAGGACCTTATATGTTTAAAATTGTTTAGAAGGACCTTATAAGTTTATTTTATTGTTAGGGAGGACTTTGAAGTCGGAATTTAGCAATAATGACTTTTTTGTCCGACGTTGACTTCTCATGTGACCTTAAAAAAGACCCTCTTTTCTTTTACCACGATTTCCCTCAAATTCTCGATTTTGATTTGTGTCATTTGGAGATTTGAAGAGACATGAGGAATTGGAGGAAAATCGTAGAAAAAAAAATGGGTTCTTTTTTTAAGGTCACGTGAAAGGTCAACGTCACGAAAAAAAAAAATGTATTGTCGAATTTTAAGACAACTTTAAAGTTAGTTTAAACATATAAAGTCCTTTCATACAAAATAGTAACATATAGATTTCTTTTAGAAATTTTTTTCATAATTTGTTTTCTTATAGTTTTTTTTTTTTTTTTTAATCTCTGCCTATTTTATTGTATTCCGATTCAAATTATCACAATTTACCATAAACAAAGTTAAATTCATATGTTGACAAACATAAATAAAAACGTGTTGTTAACTTAAAAAATAATGAACAAAATACAAATGTGAAACAATACTCCCAAAATTTCAAAAATACGTACCTATTCGGAAACGTTAGCATTGACCTCAAAATCTTAATGATAAAGATTGATCATCATCTCCTACTAATTAACTCCTTGATTTTATCCATGATTATAGCTGTGTAAAATCTCCATATTATTTCCTCTTAATTTTCTCCCTAATAGTCACTTGTTACCTTTCTTAATTAGTTGCTAAAATCATATATAAGAAGTATGTCAACAAAATATCATCACTAAAACTCATCTTCAAATTCCCAATTAACACATTAACAACAACAACATTAATCCCACAACAATGGCATCCTCACCCACAACAACCACCCCCACCGCCGCCGCCAACACACTCCAAGACCGAGTCGCCATTGTAACTGGCGCATCTCGTGGAATAGGCAAAGTAATCGCACTCCACTTAGCCTCATTAGGTGCAAAACTCGTAATCAACTACACCTCTCCATCCTCTAAAACCTACGCTGATCAACTCGTCTGTCAAATCAACTCCCTCACTCTTCCCTCCATCACCACCCTACGCGCAATCGCTATCCAAGCCGACGTCTCCGACGAATTTCAAGTAAAAGCTCTCTTCAACACCGCCGAACAAACCTTCAACACTCAACCCCACATCGTCGTCACCTCTGCTGGCATATTCGACTCCAAATACTCCTCACTCTTTGACATCGAAGCTTCCCACTTCGACCGTATTTTCGGTATCAACACCCGGGGTACCTTCCTCTGTATCAAGGAGGCAGCCAACAGTTTCAAGCGTGGTGGTGGGGGAAGAATCGTGACAATGTCGTCGTCAGCAGTGCGGTCTTTGAAGGAGAAGTACGGGGCTTATGCGGCTTCGAAGGCGGCGGTGAACGTGATGACGACGATATTGGCGAAGGAGTTGAAAGGGAGTGGGATTACGGTGAATGCGGTGGCACCGGGGCCGGTTGCGACGGAGATGTTCTTTGAGGGGAAAACAGAGGAGATGGTTAAGAAAATTGCTGAAGAGTGTCCATTGAAAAGGTTGGGGAAGGTGGAAGATGTTGGGTTTTTGGCTAGTGATGCTGGTGAATGGGTTAATGGTCAGGTTATAAGAGTTAATGGTGGTTATGTTTGAGTCTTACGTGTCCGTGTCTAATTTTTTACCTTTTTTTATTTTTTTTAATTTTTGATAGGTTTAAGTCTTACGTGTTCGTGTCTAATTATTATTATTATTACTTTTTTAAGTTATTATTTTATATAGTACTCGTACTTCGTAGTAGGAGTTCATAGTCCTACTAGAATTACTAATAAAATCTAGACTCTTGTCACAAACTCCTACTACGAAGTACGAGTAGGAGTTCGTAGTCCTACTAGAATTACTATTATTATTAGACTCTTAATAAAATCCGGTGCTTTTGTAAAAAATAAAAATAAAGTATGGTAGTAAACAAACCTTATAAGAAAATTTATGTTGACTCACTTGTCTATTTATCATAGTTGACTCACTTGTATGTGATTGCCTTGGCTTTTAATTTCTTTTAATTTATTAATTAACTGTGTGGCCCGACGATGTCCTGGGTTGCTAGTTTGTATTTCTTCAATTTGATAATTGTATTTTACTATTTGTATAGTTAATGTGTAAATAGGGTGTTGCCTTGGATGTTACTATTTGTATAGATAATACCCCCTTATTACAACTTGCAAGCAAAAGAAGCAGGGGTAATATTAAAAAAACAAAAATATGTTGAACATTAGTATGATTTATATGCATGTTTACTCGAGCACCTAGCCAACCCTAGTACATGCTACTCATCATGTCTTTTTTTAGAAAAATATTGTGTAGAACGGACTCATGTGAGTATGTTCTATTAATCGGCCTGTGCTCGGCCTGTTTACTTAAAGTTTAGCCCGCGCAGGGCTCGAACTTTAAATATCCATGATTTTTTAAAAAAATAATCAAAATCAAACCCAACTTCCGCCTTTCTTTTCCTTCTTCTTACCCACATTTTTCTGCATTTTCACTCCATTTTCATTAGTTACACTCCATTACTATCAAATTAACTCAATTTTCCCAAATATTTCGCATCACCACTTCATTTTCCAGCTTTAATTTTATTTGCATGTATTTAATTTTTAGTTCTTTTATATAAACCCTAACTTTCATCATTCTCGACTCCATTAATGAATGACGTTCCGTCGACTAAGGATTCTTCGCCCTTAAAAGTTTATCTTAAACGAAATAAACAAGCACGAAAATAGGAGAAGACAGTTGCAATGGCTGAAAGGTTTGTTATATTTCAGTTATTTTTAGGTTATACTTTTTTTTAAAATCCTTTTTTCTAAGTTATTATTTCGTTCTGTAGCGATCATTCTCCATCGAAGAAGCGTGGTCCTAAACCTGGTTATAAACGAAGTAGAGCATTTAGGTGTGAAATTATATTCTATTTATTCGCAAAAAGTCATGTTTGGATATAGTATTTGTTGTTTTATTATAGAAAATGTTTTGTTAGGAAACATAGCATTTCTAGTTTTTAAGTAGAATATTCTTGTGTAAAATTAGCTTATTGTTGTTGTTATTATATTGTTGTAATTTGATAATAGATTATTTTTGTTAGGATTCACAATTACTTTATCAGGAATTATATTCTTTCTATCCTAAATTAGCTTATTATTATGTGATAAATCATATTTGCAAATTATGTTGTCTTGAATTAGATTATTTTATTTCGATAATAGTATATGTTTGTCAGGATTTAAATTTTTTTGGTCAGAAATTAAGTTCTTTTTGTCAGTATTTAAATTACATCAGTAAGGAATAATATTGCTTTAATAAAAAATAAGTTTACTTTAATCAGTAATAAGATATATGTGTGATTACATTACATTAGTTAGAAATAACATTTCTTTTATTAAGAATTAGATTATTTTGGTCATAAATGAATTTATTTTTATCAGGAAAAAGATATTTATGCTCGGAAATAAGATTACTATTATTAGGAATAGCATAATTATTGTCAAGAATAAGAATGTTTTATTCAGCTTACAATTTTAATTTGATTTTTAACTTTTCAATTTTTCAGTTCTCTTAATGAAGATGATATTTCATACTTAGAACTTGGTAATAAATCTGGTCCTAATCAATTCTGTTAAATTCTGGAAGATTAAAGTGATAAGCAAAAGAAGGATGTAATAGACATTGGTTTTGGTGGATTGCTTCATATTAATTTAAAGGAAAATATTAGCCATTGGTTGTATAGTTATATAGTAACTCATTACAATCCCAAGGCTAGAAATTTGAATGTTGGTAAAAAGGAACATGTCATTCATATTGATAGTTCCAACATTGCTGATGTGTTAGGTATTCCTTATACCGATCTAGCTGTGAAAGAGATTTCTAAAAACAAGAAAGGATTTAATCCTGATGAGAGTTTGAAGTTAGAGTGGAGAAAGTTTTTGTGTTTGGATATAGAAGATGAATCTTAAAAAGGAGATGAATCTGAAAAATGACATGAATCTGAAACAAAGAAGAAAAAGAAGAGGAAAACTGGAGATGAATCTGAAAAAGTTGTTCAAAGTAAGAAGAAGGAACCTGAAAAAGTTGTTCAAAGTAAGAAGAAGAAGATATATGTCAATTTTGTTACTTATCAAACGTTGTTTGAGAAATATAGAGAGGGGGTTATGAATTCAAGAGACTTTTTGTTATGTTTGCTGTATCTAATTTTTTTGGCTCCAATGGGTGATAAGTCCCCCAATTTTAACATCATCAAGTCTTTGGAAGATATACGTTTCATAAAGACTTACAACTAGGCTGGTTATTTGATGGATTGGTTATGTGATTCAATAGCAGACCTTCAGACATTTGTTTTGAAGAGGAAGGTAGGAGAGGAAGGGAAAACTAAATCAAAACAAGTAAATGGTTTCATGGTTGGGTGTGTAATTTTGTTTTGCAAAAGTTTGAGTTTGGGACCACTTTAGATAGGAAGACATTTATAATGAATTGGACTTGTGAAAGTCTGAATGAGAGGATTAAGTCGGTTGCAGAAAATATCGATTATGGTATTGTAAAATTGTATCCTCAGACCTTACCAAAACGGTATGCTGGCAAAAGTGAACAAGCTCTTTTAAAAGCTTTTCAGCCGGAGAGCATTGAGTTTAAGCTTGAAGATACTAATGATGAAGATTTTGATGAAAAGAAGGAAGGTCATGGTGTATAATCTGCTAGCATTGATTTAAAACCTGAAGATGAGAAAGCTAGATATGTTATGTACAGGGTTTTTAAAGAGTATCCCATCCACTGATGATGAGATTGATAATATGGATATTGATGTAAGTTTAAAATCTCATATTTTTATTAATTTTGTAAAGTTTATTATTCAAGTTTTGATAATGTATAAACTACTTTTATGTACTTACATTTTTGTCAGGAACTAAGTGATTAGAATAATATGAGTGAGGATTAAAATTGTGCAGTCGGAAATTAGTTTAGTTTTATCAGGAGTAAGAAATCTAAAATCAGGAAATAAATTATCTCAATCACCATTAATATTGTCGGTAAAAAATTATATTATTTTTATCAGGAATAATAAAATGTTAGTCAGGAATGTGATAATTTTGGTCAGGAATGAAATTATTTTAGTCAGGAAATAAGCTATCTCAATCAGGATTAACATTGTTTCAGTTAGAAATTAGATTACTTTTATCATGAATAAGAAAATATTAGTCAGGAAATAGATTATTTTAGACAGAAAAGAAATTCGATACCTCGAGAATTAAATTATTACAATAAACAATATAAAAATTTTATCGTAGTCGTCGACTACGAACGACTATGGTCGACTACAATAAGAGATTAAATCTCATCCGTTTATTTGTTAATTGACTAATCCTAGACGTCTAATTTGATAAATCAACAAAACAGTCATCAAGTCCAGTCATCAAGTCATTAACACACTCATCAAGTCTAGTCATCAAGTCATTAAACAGTCATCTAGTCTAGTCATTAAACAATCATCAATTCTAGTCATCAAGTCATTAAACAATCATCAAGTCTAGTCATCAAGTCATTAACTCTAGTTTGGTTAAATTAATTTGTTCAAAAGCTTTTTTTTTTCCTTTTTGTTTCTTTTATAAAATTGAATAAAAATATCATATTCATCTTCAAGACTTCAACCTCTATCATCAAAATTGTAGGCGTCGTTTGAAGTGCGTCTACGTTAAAGCACGTGTGAATATGCTTGGCACTCATAAAAAGTGGTAATTGACGTAATACGATTAGGACAAGGAAAGTAGAGAACCGCCAACAAGTTTTTAAGAAACTTGTAAACTGTTCACGGATCATAAAAGGCAACCACGAATAAGGGACAACGATAGGTAACAACGATTGACCCGTGAAGGTTACACCCCATTTATAATCCATGAAATTACTAACTCCATATGGTTCGGAACCACGAAAGGAGGATCGGGGATGATGGTACGAAGTGATTCATGGAGTCACATTCGCCCGTATTGGCCTCTATTCGATTCTTATAGTAAAAAGTGATTCCTGCGATTTCAAAGGCATGCAAACAAAGATTCAATTTGCTCTAAACTATTATTAAGCTAAATTGGTTGAACATTAATGCAACATATAATTCTAAAATATTATTGATCACTATAAACAATAAGATTATAAAGAAACCTAAACCCGTTGTCCAAATTATCTTATTAGTCGTTATTTTCAATTACATATTCCTTTTAAAAATGCAATATGGTGATCATAACCATAATAGAGTAAACATTAATATTGGAAGCAATTTAACAATAATATCATTAGTCAAATCAAATATAAATTAATCTAATCATGATAATAGCAATATTAAAATAAAATAAGAGTAATTAAATTAATTAATTACTCACATTCCGTGCGTTTCTTAAAATTGCTACATCATGAATAAATTGTTAGTAACTTCAATAAAAAATATAAATTAACTAAAAATTAAGTTAAATAAATGTAGATTTGATTTGGTCCAAACCCTCAGTTATTTGTACCTTTCACACCTTGGTTTAAGGATGGAACCTCAGGTAGAGTATAGACTCCTTGGAGAGCTTAAGGGAAGTATTATGGAAGAATAAAAAGGCTAGAAATTAGGCTAAAGAGGGAGAAGAGAATGATTTTTGGTGTACGGAGAGAGAGAATGATTTTTGGTGCCCCGAACTGCAGAAAGAAGGGTCATATTTATAGGGAAAATGAGCAAAGGGAACACACGGAACCCTAAAAAGATAAAAACCCTAAAAAATAATGTCGCGACACACAACAGTACGCCGCGACACGGCAATAAATCCCGTGACATGGGGGAAATTAGTGTGATGCCAGACAGATAACAAACTGCAGAAGATAAAACGTGTTTAGGATTACGCGGAGATAACACGGATACCGTGACACGGCAAAGAATACAGCGACGCGGAAAAGTCCACCGTGGCACGGTACAGTACACTGTGTCACAGTGAAAAAAACACATGGAAATGATGTGGGAAATCACCGTGTCACGTTATGTGTACCGCGACACGGTACAAATTGTCGTGAGACGGTACCAGATCCCGTACCACGTCATTATCCCCCGTGACGCGGCAATGTTGTTGTTTGCTCGGCAATTCCAATTTTGTCCGTAAGTCGTAATAAGGCATATAATATATTATTGGAAATATTATCAAGTATACTTTCCAACCCAATTAGAATCAGGGAAAAATAATTTTTATATTTTACGATACGGCCGTTTTAGTAGAAGGGTGTCGATTTTGAGCCGATTTTAGTATTTTTGCTCATATCTTTTTCGTTTTAAATTGGAATTGGGCTTATGATATATGGTTGTGTAGACACCCATTTGTGTCTCCCCAAAACCAAACCCAGTGATGAGTGCCTTTCGCGTCGAATCATAATCGAATGAAACGAAAGTGTGGAAAAGTCTAGTGTTGCGGAAAGTTTTAATTCTTTACTCTTCTCTCTGTTTTTGAAAACTTTAAAAAATTCCAATTCAGTTTGGTTGGTCCATGATATGTGTCTAATAGTGGTGTAGTTTGATGGGGTTTGCAAAGACCTTTCCAACGACATATTATAAGCCCAATTCCGATGAATATTGAGGAATTTATGGCCAATTTACTAAACTGGGCCCAGTTTGAGTTTTAAGTACGGCCC